GATGACTGCAGGTTTCCTCAACCTTATAAACAGTACATTTGCACAATAATTGAAACCAGCCCACTATATGAACAATGGGCTGTGAGATCAGTTCCTTGATCATTAATCCTTGGGGTGGACCAATTTTTGGCAGAGCGTGTTTTGGGGTTTAAAAGCCACACAGACACAGTTTTAGGAAAAAATTGGTCCACCCCACAAATCGGGTCCCCCGACACTAACAGAATCATATAGTGTACGCTGTTAAGTGCCCGGAGGATGGCCATGGTTTATATATCGACAAAACCAAACAACCTGTGGCAAAGCGTATGGCACAACACAGAAGAGCTAATTCATCAGGCCAGGACTCCGCAGTCTACTTACACCTACTACACCTTGTTATGTTATAGTTTTAACAAGCGCACGAGAATTCGAGCAAACAGTTTTTACTTAGTCATTAGATGGTATTGTGTGTAAAATTTTGAGGTGCATTTTTTTTTAATTCAATCTATTTTGGAATAAGGCTGAAAAATGACAAAATGTGGAACAAATGAAGTGCCATCAATACTTACCGGATGCATGGTACTAGTCTACATTTCTACAGAGTAATCAAATTGCTGCTATGCAGATGATATTCATTATACATGTCTAACACTTGAAAAGTGATAATAATGTCAAGCCGTTGACCAGAAATGTTATAGCTCTGATCCTAATCCATTTGTTCCTGTTGATGTAGAAATCAATTCAGGATTATTTTTCAAACACTTACTTACATAAAAATTTAATTAACCATTCATGGCGAGGTATTGAGATTAGTTTTTTGGTTTTATTACTATTATTAATTTTAAGATGTACACACCTTGTCTCAATATGAAAATGATAACATTCTTCGTGTTACTCCCCATATAATATAACATATAACATGATATGATTTTAAGCACCACACACACATACTTGGAAGTGATTTCGAGATAAAAAAGCTCTGGCTGTGATATTTTAAAGGAGTAAATAATTGTTTAACGATTTTTTTGCTAATTACGAAAAAAGAGTCTATAATGAAAATTAAAAGGTCATTACTTGATGATCACATCAAAATGAACTGTGGTGGTAGAAACCTTCACAAAGCTAAAGAAGTTAGAAGTTAGTTAGTGTTCAGGGCGGTATTATGTCATAAATTGAAAACTGAAGTCTTACCAGTAGAAAGAAATACAGTAGCACTTCAAAAGAAAAGATCCCCAATGACTGAGAAAAAAGGTTTTTTCTGCTGTTGAGAGACGTAAGGCTACTGGAGTCAAATTGCAAATAAACGTGGGAGTGCAGGGACAGTACAGTTTCTTTAGCCACACACAGTAAAAAGAAGAAAACCCCACCAGCTTGTGGTTGCATGTCCAACCACTCAAAATAAAGTTTACATCTATGTCCATACAGACATCACTAATATATATTTAAATATTTACTTTGAAGGAAAAAGGCCCCCAAAAAAGTCTTCCTCTCCGAAGCTGTTAATACAGTTTCTTCCTCCATCTCCATCACCGTGTGACTCATGGATGCATGTTTGTCAGAGATATCTGAGGAAATGGCAAACAACATTAAATTTGTAACCTCCATCCCATGGTGAGCATGTATGAAATGTCCCGAGTGCCAAAATGAGTTAATTAAATAATTAATTAAATGTGTCGTTAATTAAATAAAATTGTAATTAATTAATAATCAAATATATCTATCATTATTTAAATGTCAATTCATTTCATTTAAAACATTTTAGAAGTTATTTCTATTTCCAGTTTTAATTAGTTGACACATTTAACTAATTACTTAATTAAATCTGTGTTTTGTTTTTATTTTAAAATTTACTGCTACTGTCACAAACACACTCACACACACAGGCATACAAACTACCATTTAGGGTTTTTTTTAGTAGTCAGTGTGTCTGATGATTTTTGGACTAGATATGACAGATCAAAGCTCAAGTATGTTTGGTAAGTATAGATATGGTAGTGATGGCCTTGAAGCTTTCCATCCAACTGGTTAAAAACAGGTTCATTTCCAAAAGCTTCATGTGTACACAGACCCCCCCTGCTGGTCAAAATCTTTCAACTACTTCTTACAGCTTCTTGGTTTTCTTACAACAGTGTCATCATGGGAATAATCATGATGATGTTTGTGTTTGTGGGAGTATTGCAATTTCAATTTCCTGTGTATGACTAGTCTTTGACAACAAAGCTGGTGTTGACTTTGACCAAAACTACAGTAACATGTTTCATTATTTACAGGAATATTACGTATAATAGCTCAAAGTGTTGCCACACAGGAGGAAATGCTTCTCCTTTCAGCAGGCTCCATGAAAACAACCTCCTCATGTCACTGGGAAAACTCCAACATGAACACTAACATGCAGTTTTGGGGGGTAATCCATGGTGCTTATGAATATTCGTGAATCACATCAACACTCAAACCACATTCTGAAACAGCGAGGCTTCACACATCACGACCGATGTCACTCATCCTTAAAGAACCTAGCTATGATATGTACTTGATAAAGGATTTCCTGGATTAAATCCTGGCACAGTGCATCACATCACTAGTGAATAGTCTTTTTCTTTAGAATTTACTATTGTTCTTTTTGCAACAATTTTAGAATGTTCTCATGTCTGATTTGAAAGTTTGCATTTACATTGGCTGTTCTTGTTTGTCCTCCTTCACCCCGTGCAAAGTATAAATGGTTCATTTTCCTTCTACCAACTTTTTCCTTGTTACTGGCTATTTTATAAAAATCAATCAATTAATCAATTAATCAATCATTCAAAGACAATACCAAAGTGCTGTACATAGTACTTTCGAAAATACTTCGTCTTGTCTCCTGAAATGTTGAGTCCTGATCTTCAGTGTTCCAAGAATCGGCCTGTCTGTGTAACGTTTTACACATTTGAATACTACTTATGTACTCTTTAAAATAAATAGATAAATAAATAGACCAATCAGGTTTAACATTATGTATGATACTGCATGATGCTGTGTTGGTGCCAGTTCTGATGTTCATTCCCATTGTTGGTGCTTTCAGTTGCATGGGCATCTTGACAGGTCTGTGGCTATGCACTGCCCCATTCACAACAAACTGCGGAGTCTTTGCTCCCCATGTACATGACCCTTGGCCACCCATGACCCTATCATCACTGTCCCTTCTGTTTCTTCCACGTTTGATAGATACTGAACATTGCAGACCAGAACATCCCACAAGAGCTGTGCTTTTGAAGATGTTCTGACCTCGCTGTCTGTCCATCACATTTTGGCCCTTGTTATACACGGGTGCCATGATGAAGAGATAATCATGGTGTGGTGATATTAACCAGAGCCTGCTATGTGCTGTGGCCTGAAGACAGAGCTGTCTTTCTGATGTTCGGTGGGTCCAGCCTTACAGAGTGTCCAGGAGGATAATTGCCAAAACAGATCTCAATGGAAGTTATCTGCTTACTATAAGGGGTAGATAATGTGTGTCACTGCTCGGCCTGGCGTCAGACTGTGTGTTCTGTCTGCTTTGAAAGACTGTGAAGGTTTAAAAAATAATAATATTCAAATAGATGGAGCACCAGAAAAACAAAAGTAATGGAAATTAATTTAAAATCATTTATTTAAAAATACATTTGTATTATAGTTGTAATACAAATAATCTAGTTTAAATTGAATTGATTGCACTGCTATAAGCTGCATTTCATTATGTACAGAACAGTAATCCAGCGGCCCCAAACTCCCGGGCCACGGACGGGTATCGGTCCATGAGTCGTTTGGTACCAGGCCGTGAGAGTTGAGGCTCGGCTGTGAAATTTATGGTTTTCAGAGTTTTTATTGGTTTTTGACATTATTTTTTCTTTTAAACGGTTTTAGCGTTAACTCTGTGTCCCTGGGTCTTATCCCATGTGTTATAAATAAATCTACTTTTTTTGGTACTGGTTTTATTTTGTTGTATTTATCTGCGACACCTCAAATGCCGGTCCGTAAAAATATTGTTGGACATAATGACAGACATGTCTGTGGTGCAAAAAAGGGTTGGGGACCGCTGATATAATCTATATTTAATGTACCCAAATGAAATATCACCCATTAAAAGTCCAAAATTTTTGTAAGTAGTTAATGAGTTTACACATTCAGTTCTAATGTGATGTGTATCTTTGCAAAAAAACAACAAAAAACTTGTATATTTAAGAGACATTCACCATTAAAATGATATTTCCACATATAAAATAACTAGATTTAGCTTTTCTCTTTTTTTCAAATCATTGAGAAAATCATTATTTCAGTTACAGTACATTATAGTGTATATAAAATCAAGTACAAACTGGTGATTTAATCTATTTCACATAAAATAATTGTATTTAATAGGTATAAGTGTTAAATGTTGTTATTTACTAAACCATTAACATTACTTTAAAAACAATATCACTCCTTTAATGCAATACTACTGTATTACATTTGAATTAAAAATATTTGCCTATAAAAACACTTTGAATTTTAAAATTTTACTAAATACACACACACACACACACACGCACACACACACACACACACACACACACACACACACACACACACACACACACACACACACACACAGACAGACAGACAGACAGACAGACAGACAGACAGATAGATAGAAGTAAGTTATAGAATGATGAGATTTAGCTTGGCACTGTTCAGTGAAAGTGCTCTGATGCTAAATGGCTTTTAAAGAGTCACAGAAACAAAATAAAATGACAATTAAAAGCCTCTAGCTTTTAAAACAAGAGAAACCTGGAGCAATCCCCCTGGAGCTGCAGACACTCTAGAAGAAGGGTCACAAAACAGTGTTTCACTCCAGTGTGCCAAATATATATTTTCTTCACTGAGCACAGAATGAAGGAAAACACCTTTTCACAGTCATACCTACTAATTCTTGCTTCACATAAACTGCAATGAAAAGCTACAGATTACAAATTACATTAAAATAACGACTTTGCTATTGCCATTTCACTGCTATACTAATGGTTTATATAAAGATATGCATTTTTCTTAGCTTTAGGATCATTGGGGGAAAACTTAAACTTTAGCTACACCCACTTATTCCTGCCACTAAAACAGTGTCGTGTTTCAAACCAGAGCTTTAATCCAAAGAGCGATCAGTGGACTGAGTCATCTGACCATCCATTTCATCTGTCAGAGCTCTTTTATAAACTCTCATTACACTCTGCCTGAAACCCTCTCTCGCTTTTAGACCTAAGCAGAAGTACAATAGCGGGTTCACACAGCTGTTAAAGTAAGCAACACCTTTTGCTACAGGGTACCAGATTTTCACTACTGCATTTTCATTGTCCACCATCTTCACCAGTAAGAGGCAGTGGTAAGGTGCCCAGCACAGGAAAAAGGCAATCACCAAACAGGCTAGTATACGCAGAGGGCGGGACTTTCCTGAGAGGCGGGTGCGTCGGATTCCCACCCCAGCCAAGGTGTAGCAGATCAGAATGATTGTGAAGGGAAACATGAAGCCACACAGGAAGCGGATGGAGTAGAGAGCTACTTTGGTGCTGTTGTAGCCCTCTGCCTTCTCTTTCGGGTCCACAGAACATTTAGTCAGGTTGTTGTTGTCCATGTACATTTGGCGATGAATGAAGTAGGGAATGCTGAAGAGGATCGCTGGGATCCAGATGCAGACTGCCACCACCCTCGCTGCCCACAGGGTGCGACGACGCTTTGTGAGGACGGGCTGCCAGATGCAGAGCACTCGATCCAGACTAATCACAGCCAGCAGGAAGACAGAGCAGAACATGTTGGTGTATTTGAAGAAGCCGTTGAACTTGCAGAGAAAGAGGCCAAAAGGCCAGTGGTCGAAGAAGAGCATCTGAATGAGGGAGGAGACTCGTGTGAAGCAGAAGATCAGGTCTGCTATCGCCAGATTCACCAGCCACACGTTGGTGACACTCAGCTTTAAGGAGGAGAAAATAAAACGAGATGGAAAAGAGAAGAATGGAAGAAAAAAAATGTATTTATATGAAGCAAGTCACCAGATTGTGATATTATCAGCGATATTAGCAATTTTAAAATATTGGCCTTCATCTTAATCTTGTATCAAACTCAGTAGGTTGTTATTATCAGTAGCATCAATAAACATCTAGTGTTTATGTGAAAAAATACATTAGAAGAAATTGTATCACAAGGCAATTGCTAAGTGAATTAGCAATTCACTTAGCAATTCAGCTAAGTGAAATAAACCTCTGCCCAGCCTCCAAGTGGGGATTTGTGTTCCTATTTTAACTTGCAAACACACCATCCATTACTACCTCTGAGAGGGTGACCAGCTCTCAGTAGGAGGAAGAGGTGAGACAGATATTGACTGATAATGATCACTCATTGGGCTGATAAGGCCAAAGGCTGATGAGGATGTACTTATTAAATTTAGCCACACTGTGCACATTGAGACCCAACACACTGTGTTTCAACTTGCACAGTCATAATCAGTGCTTTAACTTATTAAGTCTTAATTGGTCAAAAATAAGTTTAATCACACCAAATCAATGGATATAAGAAGTTTATTAACAGCTGGATTTCCTTATATGCTGATATGACTAGAAACGATGACAGAAGGGGTTCATTAACAAAAGAGAAGAAAAAAGAGGGTTATTTGGAGTTATTTAAGCCCAGGGTTAGTGGGTTTATTTATCAAGAAATCACTCAAGGACATTCACAGAGTGGTATCGAAGCCACTCCTTAGTTATCTTGGCTGTATGTTTAGGGTCTTGTTCTCTTGGAAGATGACCTTTCACTCGTGTCTGAGGTCCAGTCGCTGTTGAGCAGGTTATTAGCAAGCATGTCTCTGTACATCATGATGAGCAGTGCCCGGTTTATTACAAACATGAGGCTTGGCATTCAGCCCAGTGAGTTCAATCTTTCTTTTCAGAGAACCTGATCATTTTGTGTTTCATGGTCTGAGACTCCTTCAGATACTTTGGGGGAAACTTCAGGTCGGGTATAATTCCCTGGACTTCCTGTCTTGGTTTGTGCTCTGACATGCACTGTCAGTCTGGGGCTTAAATCTGACAGCTGATCAGTGGAAACAGGATGCACCTGACCTCAAAGGCTGTAAATATTTATGCACATGTTATATGTTTGCTTCTTATCTTTAATAAAGTATTAAGATTTTCAGACAAACTCAAATATCTGTACTTCTACTTAAGTGATGAATGTATGTTCTTTTGCCACCTCTGCATTTTGGCACGCACTAAGAGGTGAATGATAAATCTGCCATTGAGTATTTTGTAATCAGTATACTGGTTGCATTCATGCACTGATATGTAACATTTAAAAAAAACCAAAAAACACATTTACTGAAGCTGTCTCAAAAACTCTTGCCTATAAAATATTGTACAAACTAAATATGAGAATTTCACAGAGATACTTAAAACCTCAGAAGGTATTTGAAATACATGTTTCACTTTATATCTACCTTAAGTTTGAATCCAGCCACCCAGATCACTATAGAGTTCCCTGTGATGCCGAGCACAACGGTCAGTGCATATAAGATAATGGTGACATATTCCGTTATGGCATTGATGCCCATCATAGTTGTCTGGTTCTCCTTTGAAAACTTGAGCATCTGATTGGGCAGAGAGACATTGGAAAACATTGTGTGGCTGTAAAAGAGAGAACAGAAAAAGAACAAAATATTACTCATCATGTAACTCCTGATCTTCCAGACAGTGAATAGGAAGTCATAAGATTACCTCACACGCCGCTGTATATTATCATACTCACTGACTCCCTAGATGATTTTTCTTTGGCCAGCTAAGGCATTTGCTTTGATTCACATTGGCTGCTATCTTCATCTATTTAGGTCTTTGTCACGCTGCTCACAATGAGATATATATTACTTTTACAGCCATTGTAAAGAAAATTATGTTGCTTTATATATCAAGTTACAATAGAAATAACCAGTGGGTCTTCAAATGGGTGAACAGCTCAAATGAACAAAAAAAATGACATCATTATTTATCTAACAAAAACCAAGATGCAGAAGCAGTGAGTCAGAGACTGAGTGTTAGTCTTACTGCTTCCATAGGAGGACATACACAGCAGTGATCTCAGAGAAGCAATTGTTGCTGCCGATTAGTCTGTGAAATGGTTACAAGGCAATTTTAAAACAACTTGACTTGTTTTGGCTGTGTATGGTTCTTCCACATGCTACTAAGGCTGCTGTTTCTTAAATGAATAAGCTGTTACATTTCCACTATGTTTTATTTCATTAGACTTCAATAATCCAATCCAACAAACACGACTCAATGACAGAATAAGCTGTTTGGCAAAAAAGATTTGACAAGTTTTTTATGGTCGCAGCCGACACACTCAGCTCTACTGCTCAACCCATAAATGCATTATCCTTACAAATGTGCAAATGTGGCACCACTTATGGGGGTAATAAACAGGTTTTGCAGTGGTAAGAAATATTCATCCAAACATACAAACTATAGTATATATGAGTGTGTATAAATTATATATGCATATATGTATGCATAGGGGTGTAATTCTTGACCAACTGTTGGCTGAAGGTTTTGTTGTATTTTAAAGTGTGTGTGAAATGGTTAAACTTATCGAAACAGGAAGTATGTTATGAAAATGGATCAGGTCTGAAAAAAGATTATGACATTAAGCAAATTTCATCATCTGATAAAGCTCATGTTACAGAGTCAAAAGCTTAAAAACAAGTAACAAGTGGTATTTGTGATGAGATCATTTCCTTAGACCTTAATCTTTGAATACATGTGACTCTGGCAACAATTCACTAAGGTCTAACAGCTTAAATATACTAGTTTATATAACTTAACAATAATCTAATTTCTGCTATGCAGAAGATATTAGATTAAAAGCTGCTAATAACATATTAAACTGTCACCCTGATCTGTAAAGAGGCCTGATCTTGTTCTTGTTCATTAATCAGTGCAGATACATAATAGAATCCTGTCATGATCCTGGGTCGTTTGACCTAATGTTTTGGAGTTTTGGTTTATTCTGATGTTTATGGTATGTTTAACTTATTTAGGTTATCTAAGTTCATTTGCTTATTAGTTTCCCTTTGTGTTTTCAACCCCCGTTAAGTCTCCCTTGCCCTTCATGTGTTTCATGTCTGTGTGTCTTATGTTGTCAAGTTCATGTTCTCATGTCTCCGTCTCATTATTTTTCCTGTTTTATTTTGAAAGGGGTCCTGTGTTCCTATGTTCAGTGTTTTTAGTTTTACTCTCCCCTTGTGACATCGTTATGTTCATGTGTGTCAGCTGTTTTCCCCATGTGTTCCCACTTCCCTCATTAGCCTTCTGTGTGTATTTAGTCCGTGTGTTTTCAGTCATTCCTTCTCAGGTCTGCCTCAGCCAGACTGTGACAAATCTAGCCTGTACTCACACTTGTAACACAAGCTATCCCCTGCTTTTAGGAAAAAAATTGATTTTTCAATTCCTCCACAGGTTAGTGGCAACTACTTTCACTCTGTTGAGGCGTCAGGACATATGGTGACATATGGTTTTCTTTATCACTATATTTTTGCCTGTTGCCAAAAAATGTATCAGGCTATAACTTAATGTGCTGTTTTGGGTATTTTGACCCTGAAGTTTTAACCCATAATGTAGTTGAACATGAAAGATTTGAGCGAGATGAACAAATTTTGAACACTAACTACAAAGAAATTCATTATATATGGAAAACTGTCTGGGTTTTAGTATTTGTTAGTTTGGTAAAAAGTTGTTATTACAGTTGGCCCCATCATGCTTTGATGCACATGTTTATTTACACTTTAGATGCCTACAAGACCACAGGTCAGCTGCTTTAGAAGAAATTCTAGTTTCATTTCTTTATCCATGTTAAGGTTCCTAAAACTTTCCTTTGGAAAGGCAAATTAAATTCTCACAAAGACATCCTGTTTGTTTAGGTTAATAACTTTCATTTCCATCAAATAATGTAGCATTCATTTGAATGAATGTGTTCATTCCTAACACATTACCTAGTCGATATCAGTATAGATATTGAGTTGGATTTTCTCCCATTGTGGGAGATCTGATGTGGTTTCTAAATATTTCTTGATTTCTTTTTTTTAAAAAACTGCATGTAAACAATTTAATTCATCATAAGCTCTTTTCCAATCAACTATACATAACCAAAGCTCTCTATTAAGCAGAAAAACCTAATATTACATTTAAACAGGCAGGAAAAACAAAAATGCAAAAACACGAATTAAAAAAATAAGAATTTAAGTATCATCTGAGAGATCTAACCAAGAAAGAAAAATTGAATTTCTTACCTAAAATATTGAGCTAAAGTGAGCAGCTTCACTCTTAGTAGTCAGAGGCAGAAGTGAGGATGTATTTGTTTGTCTGTCCTGTAGTTACTTCAAGTTTGGCTGTTACATAGTTTGTGTCATGGCTCTCACACATGTGAATACACACTCCCAGACACAGTAACACACCCTCCATTTCCTCTTTTTTCACGTCATGTGTCTGGCTTTATCTTCCATTCTGAATATAGTTGTTTTTTTTTCCCTCACACAACCATACCCACATTTCCCTCCCATTTTTTCTCAGACATAGATTCACACACCAATTGAGCATAAGTCCAGAAGTGTGAATAAGTTATTTAAATCCAATTGCAGAATTGTTTTCTGTTATAAACTGTTCACAGCTGTTTCCAAGAAACAAGGCCTTAATTGGCATCCAGCAATGGAAAGTTGATTCATCCATCCATCCATCCGCCCATTTTCATCTGCTTCTCCAGGGCCGGGTCGTGGGGGCAGCAGCCTAAAGAGAACAGCCAGACCATCCTCTCCAGATTTGGAGGTGCTTCTAATTCCTGCTACTTCACACTCGGCTGTGAACTGCTCCAGTGCAAGCTGGAGGCCACCACCTTATGAAGCCAACAGAACCACATCATCTGTGAAAAGCAGAGTCAAGATCCTCATGGTGAAAAGTGGCTATACTGAGGAATTCTGTCCATAAAAATTATGAACACAATCTGTGGCAACCAACCAACTTCCAGCTGCAGCTCAATGAGACGTAAGTTCCCCATTCTCCCTCGGAATGCTGTCAAAGCTCTGCCGGAGTTGGGTGTTGGGCTGGATCTCCTGGACTCTGCTCGGTGTTGCCAGCACACCCTCACTATTTAGGTGTGTCAGGTCTTTCCAGCATCCTCCCTCAACTACTTGATCCAACTCACCTCCAGGTGTCGTTTACTTGACAGCTCAGTCCCTCTCTTCACCCAAGTGTACAGAACATAGATCTGATGATATGATTATAAATATCAATCATCAACCTGCAACCTTATGTGTCCTGGTGCCATGTGCATTTATGGACACCATTATGTTTGAACATGCTGTTGGTTATGGAAAAAACTGTGGTTCAGGTAAAGGGTTGAGATCGGAGAGGCTGCTATTCCCAATCGTGTCCCTCCAGGTCTCACTGCCGTTGCCCACTTGAGCATTAAAGTTTCCCAGTAGAACAGCAGCACCCTGAAAAAAATGAAAATAACCTTTTAAGCTATTACCAGTATTTAACTAAGGTCAAATAACACCGCTAATATGAATGCAAAGATGTGATAACACATATTATAACGAATATTTACCTTAGGAACAGAATTGTTGTTTTCAGATATCCAACTGCAGGGAACAGGCCACTCAGAAAAAGAAAATGCCAGAAACAACTTCACTGTGCGAATGAACGGTTAGGAATTAGTTAATAAATTAAAAAAACAAAAGAAAAAAGTGCATGGAAAAACAAAGAGTTTTTATAACCTACGTGTATAGAACTGACAAAAAAATGTGCTGCATTATGAAGCATAAACACTGAAGGCTACATGAGGAAGCAAGCCTTAAAATAAGTCTGGAAGTGAATGGAAAACTCAGACAAAGACATGGGGAACACAAGAAACCAATGAAAATGGACAATTATGATGAGAGCACAAGACTACAGCTCCAGCAACAAACTCCCAAGAGCCACCTTTAAAACGGTAACAAAATACTTACTTACTTAATAAATACTTACAAAAGTGTATCAGATATAGATTTACAGATTTGAAGTTAAAACATACATATCTAGTTTATCTAGTTTAACTGTCAGGCTGTAATAAATGCCCCGAGGTTTTCATGAGCATTTACACAATTGTGCTTGTTTCATGACATGTCATGGCGTTTAACCGTGGGTACCCTCTGTTGAAGAGTGAGATTTTTGTAGGTAAAATCTCAGGACTGAGTGGCCTACTTACAGATGGAAAGGATGGAAGGGGTTCTGTTTAGGCAGAAGGCTCAATGTCATCAGTATGTGCATAGAAAATAATCATATTTTAAGCAGAAACTAAAGTCCTGGGAGGTGACTGACTCCAGCAATGCCTTCAGCAACTAGACTATGCTGAAGGCACTAGAAACTTCTGCAAACATCTGCCTTCTTTCTGTTAGCTAAATAAAACTCTAAAACCATTTTTGCATATAGTCTTTCTTATAGTCTTGCTTAATATATCAAAACAAGGAAAACCAAAATGAGAGTAGAAAAATGTTCTTACCCATTTAAACCCATGCCTTAATAGTTGTTAATAACCTCTGGCTCTCTTCCACAGCATGTCTTTTGTCCCATTTTCCACACCTTATCTCTAACTGGTCGTGGCAGATGGCCGCCTCTCCCTGAGTCTGGTTCTGCCAGAAGTTTCTTCCTGTTAAAAGAGAGTTTTATTCCTGCCCACTGTCACAAAATGCTTGCTCATAGTGGGGTTTATCTGATTATTGGGACTTTCTCTGTATCAGTGTAGGGTAACTGCCTAATAATATAAAGCACCTTAAGGCAGCTGGAGTTGGCACTATACTCACCATACACACACAGCAGAACATCCAGTTAAATTGGGGTGAAATGAGTCCAATGTTTTGTTGTTGTTGTTTCTTTCTGTCTGATTGCCATGGTGAATTGTGTGTGTGTGTGTGAGCTTCACTGATGATGTCATTTTTTCTCTACTCATGCATGTGCTTCACCCAGGGTGAACAGGACGGAACAAACTCTGATCAGTTCTGGAGCTGATAATTCAGAGTTACTTATTTTGGAGTTGAAGTACGTTGATTATGCTTCCTGGAACAGACTCCTGTCCCAGGTGTGCATGCAGAGGATAATAATGGGGAATCCTACAAAAAGGAAGTATAGTTTCCCTATTGTTAATGCCTCAAGCACCAAAATGCATACAATATATCCAGTCTAACCCTGACTTTCACTGTCAGGTAAAGCTGTTAAAATGTATTTTCAGGCACTCAAGGGAGAGTTAAGCATTGATCCAGGAGAGTTGTATCCGTTAACAGTCTAAATATATTTTATTTTATTCTTTACTCTATTTAATTTGTAAAATATGTGTACACACACACACACACACACACACACACACACACACACGTAGAAAAACATTTAGTATACACATCCAGAAATGCATATACTATTATATATTGTACATATATTTATTAGTTTCAGATGTAGCCATTCTTTTATTTTGCTTGTTTACATTATTGTATTTTGCACAACTCTGTTGCTTGTGAAGCTCGCACACAAGAATTTCACTCACATGTACTGTACCAATGTACCTGCACATGTGATGTGACAATAAAAGTGATTTGATTTGATTTAATGGTGTAGACTGTTATTAATTTGTGTTATTAATATTTAGACAAAGAATTTGTATGCACTCATTGCATTTATAAATTGTAGTCCCTACTTCATACACAGGCAGTATGTGCATTCGACAAAAAACAAAGTAACGTCACACACACACACACACACACACACACACACACACACACACACACACACACACACATATATATATATATATATATATATATATATACATATATATATATATACACATATATATAAAAATCAGTTTTTTGTTACAGTAACTATATATAAGATCAAGTATATTAATCTTAGTGTAAAGCATTTTCATTTTAATTGCATTACAATGGTTTGCGTTGAGAAATCACAACAGATTGATCAAAACATGGAAATTTATTCTTCTGAGCTTTAGGATAAATCAGAGAAACACAAAGATTAGCTACACCCACTGCTGTCAGACTCTTTTTTTGGCACAGCAACAGTGCTGTGTTTCAACCCAGAGCTTCAGTCCAAAGAATGTTCAGTGCACTGAGTAATTTGGACATCCATATCATCTGACAGAGCCCTTCTATAAATTTTCATTAGACCTTGTCTAAATCCCTCACTCATTTTTAGACCCATGCAAAAGTACAGCAGCGGGTTTACACAGCTGTTAAAGTAGGCAATGCCCATTGCTACAGGGTACAAGATTTTCAACAGTGCAATATTATTGTCCACCATCTTCACCATTAAGAGGCAGTGATAAGGTGCCCAGCACAGGAAGAAGGCAATGACCAAACATGCTATTACACGCAGAGGGCGGGACTTCCCTGACAGACGGGTGCGTCGGATTCCCACCCCAGCCAAGGTATAACAGATTAGAATGACCATAAAAGGAAATATGAAGCCACACAGGAAGCGGATGGAGTAGAGAGCAACTTTGGTGCTGTTGTACCCCTCTGCCTTCTCAATCGAGTCCACAGAACATTTAGTCAGGTTGTTGTTGTCTATGTAAGTTTGTCGATGGATGAAGTAGGGAATGCTGAAAAGGATGGCTGCAATCCAGACGCAGACTGCCACCACCCTCGCTGCCGACAGGGTGCGTCGGCGCCTTGTGAAGACTGGCCACCAGATGCAGACCATTCGATCCAGACTGATCACAGCCAGCAGGAACACAGAGCAGAACATGTTGGTGTATTTGAAGAAGCCGGTGAACTTACAGAGGAAGAGGCCAAAAGGCCAGTGGTCTGACAAGAACAGCCGAGTGAGAGAGAAGATTCGTGTGAAGCAGAAGATCAGGTCTGCTATCGCCAGATTCACCAACCACACATTGGTGACCGTCAGCTGTTGAGGAAGAAGAAAAAAAATACTATGGAAAAGAGACAAGAGGAAGACAAACAGAAGCTCACATTTGCTAGATGCAAGTAACCAGACTGGGATGTTATCTGTGGAGATTTCTTTATGTTAAAAGCCATTGAAAACATTAAAAACACATAAACACACAATCTTTAAGTTCTCCAGAGGCCTGGTAATGAACTAATCATTTGATTCAGGTGTTTTGAAACAGGGTGACATCTAAAAGCTGCAGGACAGTGGCCCTCGAGGCCTGGAGTTTCTCACTGCTTTAAACTCTGGCTCTCTCTCATGCTATCCTATCTCCTTCCTCCCTTCACTTCTCTTTCCCCTCATCCCCAATTATAGTCTTTGTGTCCAGACATCTGATTGTCAGGGTTTTCTCTCTATTATTGTACGGTCTTTACCGTACAATTTATCAGGGGTCGGCAACCTTTCTGATGATGAGTGCCAACTAAAATTTCCTCAGAAGTTAATGTGCCATATGATTGCATTAG